AGCATAAAACAATGTCTTGGGTGAGATTTGAAGGTGCTCTTTTCTGTGCTTGTATTTCTTTCAGTGAAGGTTGAAATGTTGTAAATTGCTAACATCTGTGTTATGTGCCCTCTGCACATTCATAATCTGATGGGGATTTTTTTCCTCAGCTGAGTTCATCAGAATGACTTTGGCAGAAATGAGAGTATTCAATATGTCTTAAAATATCTCCCCTAGAAGGTAGTTAACCTCAGGTCTGCCTGCTCACTGTTCAGAGCTGATCGTGCCTATGTTTCTGCTTGCATACTCATTTTGAACCTATCCCATTACCTGCTTAACAAAGTGGGAGAGCAAAATATATTCAGCAGAGTCGTTATGGGAACCACTTCTGCAGCTCTGTAAATAAGTTGCCATTTGCTGTGCAGACTGTATGTGCAGGGGAGAGGGAAATCAAATCCCATATCTGATGCTCTCTTGAATTGATTAGACTCTCATGAGCAGGCACTTTTCTTTTTCCTTGCACCCAATTTCCACTTGCAGGTCTAAAGGTGGGGTCTAATACTTTGGCTAAAGGGCCATCTAAATTTCAGCACATCATATCTCACAGGTGTGATCTGCATCTGAACTAATACATGAGATAGAGAAACAAATATGATCTGCAAGGTTACTAAACAACTGTCATATTTTACCACAGTTGCGTGACATTTTCCTGAACTGCCCTTGAACAGCTTTTGGGATCCCTCTGAATGGGAGAGCTGTATAAACAGCCTAATCATTTGAATTTTTGTATGACTCTTGAGGGAGACATATATCCAAATTCCAGGTAATGATGGTGGTTCTGAGTTTTAAACTCGTTTTGAAAGCTTTCTTCTTCTTCTATATTAGAATTCTATTTTGTTCCACTTTAATATGACCCATGAACCAGATGGGTTGAGCACTGGGAAAAGTGTTTTGTGTCCTTCTTTCATTCTTACTCTTCCCTGTGTGCCACAGCTGCTGCCACAGAGCTGGTTAGACCCTGCTCCGAATCACTGCAGCTGTTCATACCTCACCTCTTCATGCCAGTGGGACCTGCCTTTGCTGCCTCATAGAAAAAGCCTCATAAAATATTACTGTGGTGCCATGGTCTGTGTCACAGCGAAGCACCATGCAGCCAGACATTGTGAAACAGACTTGGTCTGAGAGGTAGCCCTGCCCATGGCAAGCTGTTAACCTTGCAGCTGCTAGTACTAGGGAAAAGCTTTTGCCCTCAAGAAGCTGGCGGCAATATTTGGTGCCAATGGAGCTTTTTGATTTATAAGCCCCACAGAATGCCAGAAACAGAATTTCTCAGCTTAATCATCAGTCCGTTTACATGCTTGTAAGAAACCACAGATTTCAGTGTTATATGCTCCCTCCCAGAGCACCTGGGTTGCATGGGAAATAGCATGCGGGTACTTTGTTTTCTTCACTAGGTTGTCATTTTGCTCCTGTGAAGTAATCCCTATCAACGACAAGTTGTAATAGAGGCTGTTTCTCAAGAGAAAGTATTCCTGCCATTCTCATTGATAAGTTTACTGTTAATCAATATTTGAACCTCCAGGGCTATGAAATCTGGTATTGCATCCTTGTTTCATCTTCTTTAATGGATGGATTATTTCTGTATCAGCTGTGGATGTAAGTTTCAAGTGACCATCTGTGGCAATTGGTGTTATCCAGTCAATGATCTGCAGCCCACAGGTGGTCCATAAAGCATCAGAAGGTGATCTGTATAGCAGTGGGAGTTGGAAGTGAAAATCAAAGCAGTCCTAAAGGCATACATAGTGACACCCTGCAGTTAGCAGCAAGCAGTGATGTACTAGCTGCATGCAAAACCATCTCATAGGCACAGGTCGATGGGTGCAGCATTGCCTGCTGATTTTTTCCCCTGCGCGTTTTGTTGGCTCTTTGGTTATTAGAGAAGCTTGAGAAACATTGCTGTAAGGGATCTATTGGAATTTTGAAGGGTTTATTTTTATTGACATGACTATTTCAATGTGGGAAGGATGTTTTTACATTGTTGCATATCAGATTTGTTGTCAACTGATTTGAAGTCTGGAAGCAAGTATTTCTGGCTTTCCCTTGACGTGTCTTGAAGGGAGCTATCTGGGCATCTCTGGTCTGCTTGCGGACGGTGGGATACAGCTGTCTCTGTTTTACCTGGAAACCCACAAAGCTCCTGTGACTGCTCTGGCAGTCCCTGAAGTGTGCTGTGCACACCATCTCCCTGGAGGCAGAGGATTGCGTCCGTGTGCATGAGCAGCGGTGACACTCCTGTGCATTGTGCTTGGGTGCGTGGTTTGCACAAGCTTTGCAAAAATATGGCTGTATAGGTTTGCCCTGCAAGAGAGGTGTCAAGGCTGCCATTGCCAACAGTTATACATAGTTGTGTACTGCCTCTGGTTTTCCAGCAGCCATGAGGACCCGCTGATCCAGAATGGCACTGTGTGCTGGCACAGGCTGTGTTCTTACCTGCTTTCCAAGCAGGAATGTGTGGGCTGTTTAGCACACAGTTGTATTCACAAATCACATAATTCCCATTACTTTGTAATTGCAAAGAGATATTTCTAGTGGTGCTGTGCTTTTCAACTTGGTCTTTCTCCGAGATTGTTTTCTTTTTATATAAACCAAAAATAATTACCTTGTGGGCCTGTGATGCATTGTGCAGTATTGACAGTCTTACGTGCGAGAGAATTATGAGAAAAAAACAACACAGACCTTTGTTTCACAGCCTTGCTGCATTAAGGTGTACTTTTCTTTTTTTGTCTCTTAATTTTCACCTTTTGCTTGTATTCTAGTCACTGCATTTGAAGCTTTTCTTCACAGTTGGGAAGACTGAAAACCCTTTGTTCCCTGCCTGTTCTTTTTCTTCTTTCGTTTTCCTTCTTTCTTTTTTATCTTCCAAAAGGTGATATTTTTACATAATCACAGGATTCCAAGAAGATGAGCTTTCTAAGGAAACAGAAAACAACACTTCCCTTTATCAATCTTATATATTCTTGAGTGTCTTAATAAAATTGTGAGCACTGCCACAGCTCTGTGACTGTGAGACTTGCTCTCTACTGACAGTTTCATTACTGAGAAGAACAAGATTTTTCTCTTGAAATGCAAGGAAGAAAAACTGTGAAATAGTCTGCTGGTATTTGAATTTGGCTATCTGGAAAGCAATATAGGTAAGCCCAGGACATCCTGAAGTGCTACTTATGGCCTTCCTCAAGGCCATGTGATGGGAAAAGCTGCTGAACTACTGTAAGTGGTTGATTTTGCATTAAGATGAACAAGAATCCTAATCCAAAAAAATTATTTATATCATATAGCTATATTTGAGAGAGGTTAGTTAGCCATCACATCATACTTGTAGAAAACAATATCTTGTGCATACAATGTTCTGAATAACAGATTCAGGATAAGCAAACCTTTGGGGACAGCTGGGGTAGCCAAATTGTATACCCTTTTCAGCCTGATAAGCTCCTAATAAGAATAATTTTACAGATCATGTTTTTAAGGGTGATTATTCCATTCACAGAGGTAACTGAGGCTCATTTTCAGAGGGAAGCAGTGCCAGCAGTGAAATCCACTTGCAGAGCATGCTTTAGAAATTAAGATATATGCTGCCTTTTGCATTCATGATTGGGTGGAAAGTAAGGCCTACTGTGTAGAAGAGAATTTTCCCAGGTTAGAGTTTCTGAGGTGAAAGGAAATAAGCATGGTATGGTTTGAAGGTATTGTGCCTTAGAAATGTTCAAGGATATTTTTCATTGAATATAGTTCCAATAAAACAGTAACGTGCTGGGTTTAGTAAAGCAAATTTAGTCATTTTGAACTTTTACACCATTTTAAACAACATGTAGAAAAAGATGGAATGCTTCAATTTGAGTAAAAATTTAAACAGTGGCTAATTAGTCCTTTTTGCTTCAGAGTGGAGATGAAACCCCAAATCTCTCTAACTCATCCTTTGGCCATCAGGAATGAACTGCAGGTCTACCTTACTGGGGTTATTCTAATCTGCGCTTGCAATTATATTGCATAGGTGAATGCAATAGTTATATTGCAGAAGCATTTAAAACTGGTTCAAGTTATTGTGATAAAATTTTACACTTACAAAGTGAAGGACTGCTTTTAAAAATGTGGCCATTCTGTGACACTATTTTTTGTGAGTTCTGTCTTGGTTTTCATGTTTTGCAAAACTGTTAGCTTCAAATTTAAATCCTAGCTGAGTTACTCAAATGTTCTGAAGATTGCAAGCCTATGGGATTTCTAGACTGATATTACAGGGTAAAGGTGTAAAGATAAATTGAAAAAGCTTCAGGCAGGATCAGAGCTTGGATGATTGTCTTAAGGTTTGTCTATGAAATCCTCCTGTCATTCTTCATCCATAAGAGTTTCCTCTTGTTAAGTGATGATTCTGAGTAGGGCCATTAATTTTGGCTTGCAAGTTGCAGACAATTAATCAAATAAGCAAGAAAAAAGTTAAATTATGATTGTTTGCAAGCTTTAAATCTCCTGAGTGCAAACACAGTCAAAATGTTGACTCTCTTGTGTGCTGACTCAGGCTTTCATCTCTTCCTCTCTTGCTGGAGTTTTCTGTGGCGTATCTAGGTGTATGCTTTCCTGTTCATCTTCACAGGGTCTGGCCAACCTCAGTGCCTTGAGACCATCTTTTTCTATACCCTGGATACACTGTTGTTCACTGCAGTGAAGGGACTGTGGGTACGTTAAGAGCCAGTGGAGTATTGTGGTGCACAGGAATTTCTTGGGTTTGGAGAAATTGTGTAGCGTCTTTAACATTCCCGTCTACAACCTGCTTTTGTAACTCCCTTTATACTCCTCACTCCTGTGAGGTGCTCTTTGTGTTGTCTTTTCCCTCCTTTCCCTTCATAAGTGACACAGCATTTAAAATAGAACTTGAAAATCAATTTATATAATTTTTAGTAGTTTATTGGACTCATTCAGAGTGCACTTCTTAGTGCTAAATGTCTCACTAAGGCTCCCTTTCCTTTCAGGTTTTCACAGGGAACAGCAACGCTGACAGTGTGGTTCACCACAAATTGCTGCACTCCATGAAAGCCCGCTTCTTGCGCTTCATCCCTCTTAAGTGGAACGCTGGTGGTCGGATAGGACTAAGAGTGGAGGTCTTTGGTTGCTCCTATAGTAAGTAACTACATCTTAACCCACATTTTCTCAGAGCTTTCTCTTGATGCTGTCAGTGCTGTAGGGGGTGTCCAGCACAAGTTTTACAAGTGAGAATGTAAGGCAAAATGCATAGCCATCATTTATTTTTTCAGTAGTTATTCTTGCCTTTCTGCTCAGGGATGTGCTCAGCCATCTAGCTCACTCGATGAAGCTTCCTCAGAGCTGAACCCACCACAGAGCTATTTGCTGCTTCTTGCAAGGTGCAAGGAAGTCAGATACTACAAACCTCCCACCCTGCTGGAGGGTACAAAGCTACTTCAGATCTTCTGCAGGGCTTTATTTAGGAATGGTGCTACCTTTTCCTTAAAGAGTTCATTTTTAGTTTTAAGGCAAGTTAACTAGTTGTTGGGGGAAGTGCTGCTCGTGACTTTTTAGATCCAGAGAGCAGAGAACTCATCTGCTGCTTTAACTGCTTTTGCATGAGTATCTCCTTTGGCACTCTTATTCATAGCATGCGGTGATGATCCTCTAAGACATGATCTGCAGCCTTTGTCACATGAGCTTTAGAGCAGCTTATAAATGTTGTTGTCTTGGGGCATTTCAGCCACATATTTATCTAGGTGTACTGCTGCAGATGTAAGACCTATCACTACAGAAAAAATGTGAATGTAAAGAAAAAAGACCTCCCTAGAACAAAGCAAAAACAAGTCCACAAATGAGGAAACAAGTGGCCAGTATTTGTTTCTCAGGTAGCTGTGGGTTTATTTCCAAAATGGTAAAAATTGTCTTAAGACAGTGGTGGAGACAGGTGAGATTTTGCTGGAGACAGTTCAGGGGAATAACAGCATTTTGCTCAAAGTTCAATGTGGTGTGTCACAAGTCACCATAACGTGACACTGCTGTACTTGTACATCTCCCCATTTAGCTTAGATACTCATCTGCTCCTGCTGGGTGCAGAAAAGGGGTCATAAGATAATAAGTGTAAAAACTCCTCTTTGGAAGACTTCCTAAATTCATCTGAGCAGAATGAAAGAGCAAAGCGTCTTAAAACTTTTGATTCACATGATCCCATTGAACAGAGGTATAGCTCCAGGACTCTTAGTAGCCTCATCACTGCACTTGGGTCTTAGGATTGATTCACATGGTTTCACAGGAAGATCCTTGCTATGGTCTGTATGTACATCTGAATGATCTACTCAGCTTTTTTAAGTGCTGCTTCTCCACCTACTTCGGTGCTTGGGCACTATGGACTATTGTTCATTTAAGTATAAACCTGCAACAGCTTAGTGTGCATGGATAGTCACTAAGGAAAGAAACCTTTTCCTGGCCTACCAGTGGACATGGAAACTGAAACATATAAATCAAAACCAACTGCCCTTGTTGACATCATTCCAAAGTGGCTGTCTCATCCGTTTTCGAAGAGTTTTCTTCTATTAATGATAAACAAACCTCTGCAGTGACTAACTAGTACAGTACAAACAGAAGTGGAACAAATGGAACTCAAACTGAAGGTTGAAACTTTTGTAACTGAAAGTGTTTTGGTTCTAGTCCATGTGAAATACTACATGGGCACTACTTTCATGTCGGACTGTGGTTATATGTACTATGACACGAAGAAGATTTCATAGTCACTTGCAGGCTGTAGCCTTGCACTGATATCATTTAAGTCTTCATCTTTTTCCTGTGCCTCTGCAATTACAGGAAATAAAAACGGTTGTGCAGAATTAAGGCATGAGATTGAAGCAAGCCAGAAAAGAAATAAAGGGATTCATAAAAGTTTTATAGAGTGTTGAAATATTTATTCCTTTTAGATAAATGTGCCATTCAGATTTCTCTCTGGCAAATTGCATATGCCAAGCAATACCTGTCTACAAGTTTTGCTTTTATAGTTTCACAGTCTTGGCTACTTCTAAGTCAGGCACTCCGGCACCGTACAAAAGATGTTTGATCATTTATAAAATGTCATCTTTACTGTTATCCTGACAGAATATCTGCAGCAGATCCTGAGCTGGTGTACAGCTACATAACTGTATTTTGATGTGATGTCAAACAGCATACAGGCTCATCCACCACTTCCACTTCTGCCACAAGAACTATATTAATAATATGAAAAGAGTTTCAAATAAAATGAGGAAAAATGTCACTAGAGATAGGCTGTTGGACAAGCCAGGAAGGAAAGAGTGCTAGAAGAAAACATATGTTCCAAATGTGCACAATCTCTAAGAGATAACACTTTATGTAAGGGTCTTTGCGTGTAAGAAAGAAGCAATGTGAGTCTGGGAGTAGGAAGTCACCTACCTGTACCAAAGCATTCAGCTGATATAAATTCAACTGTAATAGCCTTATTCCCCATTATTCTCACAATTTTCTTTAAGACATTGGAATGACTTAAAGGCTTCTATAAGTAAACAAACCCAGAGTATTTGGTGTTAAGTTGACCAAATCAGAAGAAAGGATTTCTATCAGCATTTTAGCTTTGAATCCAGTCCTGAGGTATGAGAGAACATGCGCATGGAGAACACATATGAACCAAATCCTGCACAAACGTTCACGTGTGACTGCTGGGTCATTTCTACCTGTTAGCCTATTCTAGGTTGAAATTCAGATGATGCTGAACAGCTGGCTGTCCATTCCACCTTTTAGGCAAATGTTGCCTCAGAAGCAGAAAACCTGATCTGAAAAGAGAACTGATTTATATTGCTTCCCAAGGCAGAAAACTGGAGAAGTAAAGTTTTCATTTGCAAGCAAGCTTCAGATCTTTTTTGTGTGAGTAGCAGGAGTCATTGTTTGACTGAAACAAAAGTCTGGGGATACGGGCAGCTTAGGCCATCTGAATTTCATGTGCTGCTGCATATGTGTTAAAACCCATCAGTACCTTGCTGTGATACATCAAGGTGTGCAGAATAGCCTGTGGTTCTTTGGATGGTCTCTGCTCACCTCAGCTCCTTTCTAACCCTGCATACTAGAGCAGAAGATGACAGCTGGAGGAGAGGTTTGTGGTTTCGCTACTGCTTAAGCATTTTTTGATGGCAAAGTTACGTGAATGTGATGCTCTTGTGCCAGTGAAAGGCTCTGTTCTGTCATTTTTAGAGCATAACTGTCCTGTGCAGCATGCTCTTCTGGAGAGGTCCCAGAAACATCAGCCTTGTGCTGGCTTCTGGCAAATGCAGCTTGCAATAATGACTTTTTAGTAGGGGACATGTGGAAGACATCAGGCGTTGTAGGGCAGCAAACCCTCTGCCAGGACGCAGTGACAAAAAATACCGAAATATCACATTAAAGATTATCTCCTATGTGCAGTGGATGCCAAAGTGGCTAATTTAACGTGTTTGCACTGTGCTGTTGAATGGCACTAATTACCTTGCTCCACCTAGAGGGAATTTACTACTCTGAATTTATCCCCAACACTTCAAAACTTCTCTGTCAAGCCTTGCTTGTCAAGCTGACCTCTTCTCTTCTCCTCCCCCTCCCCCACCCCCCCTTAGCCCTCTTTTTCTTTTTTTTACCTTTGATTTGTCTGCCAATTAACATTGTTTCTTTGGAGCATAAAACCATGTTTTTAACAGTAAAGCTGTTTCAGACACATGTGTTTGACGCTATCCCATACAGATCAAATGATTTTGTATCCCATACAGATTGACAGGGCACTCCAAGGCTGTCGGTTCAGCTGAAATTCACAGCTATCAAACACACATGTTTTTTGTTGGGTGTTTTGTTGTTGTATTTTTTTTTTTTTTTTACTTTCTGAAACATAAAGTATGTATTTAAATGAAAATTTATTACATTTATTTGCAATTCCTGTAAAGACTCCATCTAAGAAAATAGGTACTGAACTAGGAAGGATATTGTCTGGATTTGAAAACATACATTAATATTTCCTATTCAAGAAAAAGATTTAGGATGAGTTAAATGGAAATTTCCATGTAGAGGTATGTGTAAGCTCTCACTGCCCCTTTACAGCAGTGGCTCCAGAAACAGTATGATTATAGTAGATTAACCAGAACTGCAATAGAGGAGGTTTTCAGACAAATGCCAAACCAATTGCTTTTGATGCTGGAGGTGGTGAGGGGGAAATTGGAATATCTTTCTATTTGGGGAAAGGTCTTGTTAGCTTAGTGCAGGGAAAAAAACCTGCTGACACAATTGCTTTTATAGGTTAAGATTTATAGCCGCATTGAAGATGCTGATCATATTCTATAACTGGTTAACAGACAAAATGCATCAGCAGAATCAGATGTATGTGCAGTTATCAGGCTGGAAAACCATAGGAGACACAATGATAGAGCATGAGACAGGCTATCTTCTTTTGAGATCCGAGTTCTTCACTTGCAGTTCAGGACACTGATTTCTCATCTTTTGTGGTCATTACTTCAGGGAATATGATCTGATGCGGTGCTTTTTCATTTAGTGATGTTTTTACTAGACCTTTATTTCTCCTTTTTTTTCCCCTTTCTTTTCTTTCTCCCCACCTTCCTTCATCCTCTCCTTCATCTTCCTATGAAATACGTAAGTACACATTGCACAGAACCACTTACCATCTGATGGTCGTTGACCAGTAGTATTTTTAACCAACTCTGTATAGTAAATACCCAAACGCTTGCTTACCAAGAGACATAAATCTGTGATACAGATAAAGCTGCATAGCAGAACTGTCATGTCCAAGGTGCTCATCCAGTCATCCCTTGGATTGCATATCTGAGAAGGGTATGGAAAAGAAAGTCAGATTGCTTTAGACTCAGTCAAGCTAGTAAGGCATGACTAGCCAGGAAAGATTGTTTAGACCAGGAACAATCTTCCTTCCTCCTGTAGGGAATTAAAGCTTCTATTTGTTGATGCAAGTGCAAGACCAGTAAGTTCTGTCTCAAATTACAACTGTTCATAGAGGATATTTTTGTATTTTAGGATAGCTTTGCCAAGTATATGCTTACTGTTTCTAAAATCACTAGGAGGATTGTCTTTGTAAATATAAATGCATATTGTTTCTGCTGCCAGGAGTAGATTGCTGAACAAGTAAACTGCATGCTTTCACATTGCTCTCAGCCTGGCTTCTCTCAGTATAGCTGGTCCCACAGGTTCAGCTGTGTGGTTACTTGCTCCCTTTTTATTTTTTTTTTTTTCAATAGAAATTATGAATTTACCTGGTAGTTCACCTTCAACTAGCTGCCTCTGTTTCTACTCACCCCCAGATTACTTTGAAGATTTTGTCTGTGCTAGGAAAGGAAATTCAAATGGAATGACATAACCAGCACCCCTGGAGCCAGAACCTCTACTGAATTTCAAAAAAGCTTGACGAATTATTTCTGAGAACTCCTTTACCTGTTCGCAAGAGTATGTACTCCTGCCCCATTTACTTGGCACTGGTGAGGTCATGCCTCAATCACTGTGGTCGCCTCCCTACAGGAAAGACCCTGAGGTGCTGGAGAAAGGCAGTGAAGCTGGTGAAGGGTCTAGAGCACAAGTCTTAGGAAGAGCAGCTGAGAAAACTGGGGCTATTTAATCTGGGGAAAAGGAGGCTCAAGGAAGACCTTTTCGCTCTCTACAACTACCTGAAAGTAGTTGGTGGGGTGAGGTGGGGGTTGGTCTCTTATCTCAAGTACCAAGCAAAGAGTTGTCAAGCATTGAAACAGGCTGCTCAGGGAAGCTCTGGAGGTTGTAGATGGGGGTTGGTGGTGGACTTGTGGTTCTAGGTTAATGGTTGGACTCAATGATCTTAATAAAGTCTTTTCCAGCCTAAATGGTTACGTACGTATGTACAGCAGAGACATCTGTTTGACTTGTTGGTCAGGGGAGAATAGCATGAAAGAACTGTGTTTTGCCTAATATCACTTTTGATGAGTTTTGTAGACTTGTTGTTAAGGACAGTATAGAAAAACACCCAGAATGAATGAAGTCTATCTTCAAGGAGTGTAAGTAAATCAGAGGGCAGTGCAGAATGAAACCACATGTTGTATTTTAGTTTTTTATTCCTACAGGGTTGCCGAAACTTACAACACTTCTGATTCTTGTGCTCTCGCTGCAAGTGGATTATGGACATGAATAGACTAAATAAATAAGCCAGTTTTCTGGAGTGACTATGTTAGAATTGTGCTGTATCTTTCAATTTCTAACAGGAAGACAATGATTTGTTGTTATGCAAACTGCCAGTAATGATTTTTGGCTGCCAGTGTTAGCATTTACTTGACATATTCCCGTTTCTTTCAGTGCTGTTTATTGGCCAGTGTACTCTCAACTGATAATTAGTGGAGCAGAACCTTTCAAAACCAGGTTTTCCTCTGTGTTATTCTCTGTAAATGTCAGTGGTAGAACTCTTCAAGAATTGTGTGTTATGCTGTGACTTAGTGGAGAACAAAGACTGAAGTGTGAATTTAGACTGGTTGAATGCTTGGATTTCAAGAAGGAAAAGAAGAAAGGGCTGCTATTATGGCAACATTGAATCACTGCTCTCTTACGTTATCTTTGTTTTTGAGAACTAAGAGGAAAATCAACTTTAACTGGAAAATATACTGGAAATCAAAAACTAACTTCTTTATAAGCTGTTTCCTAATTCTTGCCTGTGTTAAAATGAAACTATGATAACACTTGCAATTTACTTTAAACAAATTGAAGTGTTTAATGTAGCTAGGAGAAGTTCATAAGAATGAAATTATGAATTTAATTCCCTTTATAGAAACTGGCAGTCAAGGTGTCAATAGAGAGAAATCGGCAATTCTGAAGGAGCTGTTTCTGAATGCCTAATTCAGAAGTAAAAAAAAAAGAAAAACACAGTAAAAGCAGGTGAACTGAATACTTTCATGTTCATAATGCTTCCTAAGATAGCAAATGTTCCACATATGATGCTAAACATCATGTTATAGTTCTGATATGACAGATAAGAAGTCGGTCTTAGTTTATTCTGGAGTGAATTTTTCCCAGGGTTGAATTTCTTTGTAGTTTTATTCTTACAAGAAATAATTAGTTACCTTCTGATTTGGAATGCAATCAGTTTTGGAGTGATAGAATTTAATTTCAGATTTAAGTAGTGAGCTCCCTACAAGTTTATAAGTCTGCTGTCAAACTTCTGTACAAACTGTCATACTGACATCCAGAAGTTATTTATGTTAGTTTGCATGGTAATAAATCATTAACAGGTCTTTTTTTTTTGAACTTATAATAGTTTTAATTGCAAACATCTTTAAATCTCGGTCCAGTTTAAATAAAAAAAAAAGAAAAAATAGAGGAAAAAAACCAATCCCTATTATTTCTGGTTTTAGAGAGGAGCAAATGAAACTACCATCAGTGCTTGAAAGGATAGAAGAACTCTTAAGGAAGCTTAGGTGACTTAAATCACCAACTTTAATCACAGTGTAGTTGCTGGCCTGGAAATCTTGATTGTTTTGCATACGGACATTTCAGTTTATAAAAGAAAATGGAAAGCTGATAGCTCTAGATTATCATTAAAATGTGGTTTGCAAACAAAGGTAATCTGTGCTCTTTCTTCTTGATTACTATGAAAATTTTTTTGTCTTTAGACATGATCAAAGTAGTTACGTAGCTTAATAAACCCTTGTTTAGACTCTTCATCATGTGGTGTTCTTGAATTTTAATATTTTTCATCACAATAGGAAATACCAATTGACAGGCTTGTTATTTACAAGTGCTAAATTGCTTTTGGATAAAACTGGAATTGAATTTACTTATGTCAGTCAGATGTTTGAATACAATGTATTAGTTCAAAAGTTATGGTTATATATGTGTATATAAATATTAAAAAAAAGTTTTGTGGTTGTTTTTTTTTGCTTAAAATACTATTTTGTAAAGCAAGGAGTACTGCAAGCTGCTGCTGCCAAAGGAAATATTGATTGCAACTGAAGAATTAAAAGCTTGTTTTCTATCACAGTGATTAGGTTTTAGAGGCTGGCTAAAGAAGAAAATATGTTTCTAATAGGATTTTCACAGGTATATAATCAGTTTAGATGCCCAGTTCCCATGAAATCCCATCAAAAGCTTTTTGAATTGATATTTGGCTATTTCTGCCAGCTTAGTCAATATGCATGTGGAAAAATGCTTGATATATTCCCATCTTAAATAAGCAGCCAACCCTCAGAGGCCAAGATGATACTTTTTTAGATGCAAAGGTGGATGCAGGCATGGCAGGCACACAGAAACAGCTCAACAAATGCTTGTGAAGCTACAAAACTGGGGTGAGAACTGAAGTGTTCAAAATAATGAATAACATACTGGGTATGTTTGAGGCAAACAGTAAACATTATGAGGGATGTTCTGAGATCTGAATATGGTGGAAGGCACCTGTTCTGTCCTAAAAAGTTGAGTGAGAAAGCAGTCGTGCATGAGAGAGAGGAAGACAAGTGCGGAGAAGTTCTGGTTTTATCCTAGTGTTCCCATTCCTCACATAGAAAGGGTGAAATATGGTTGCCCAGGTGCCACATACATCCACATATTGACTAAGCTGGCAAATACGTCCTGTGGAAGTGTGCTTCTGAGAAAGCCTGACTGCAAGTGGTATTTGAAAAGATCCTAAAAAAATACAGTCCCTCTCCCGATGTACAACTTTTCATTTTGCTATCTTCTTTCTCCCAGAGTCAGATATTGCCGACTTCGATGGCAGAAGTTCACTCCTCTACAGGTTCAATCAGAAGCTTATGAGCACATTCAAAGATGTGGTCTCTTTGAAGTTCAAGAGCATGCAGGGGGATGGTGTCTTATTCCATGGAGAAGGACAGCGTGGAGACTACATTACCTTGGAACTTCAGAAAGGGAAGCTCTCCTTGCACATCAACCTGGGTAAGGGTCATTAGGATTATTGGTTCACATTTGCCGTAACAAGGATTAGCTTGGTTGCTTTTATAAATTCGTTATTGATATTAGGCAGTATCTAGAAACTCCACCTGAGATCAACAAAACATGCTGTGTGCCTCAGGCAGCTCACAGCTTAAAAACTTATCAGAGAAGGTGGTAGGGGAAGCAAAAGAAAATAGACTTTGCTGATGTCATGCAGGACATGGTGCTTAGACTGCCAAAGCTGTTTTTAGTAAAAGTGTGAGATGTAGCATCTAGAAATGTACTGTATTAGCAGGGACAGATCTCGGACTAGCAATTCCAGGACACTTTAAGAAGTTTGGCCAGAGCAGAAAAAGCAGGCAACGGTGCAATATCTCAGTCCACTGTTTATGATTTCTTTTAATTCCCAAAATCATAAACTAGTGGGAGCAAACTAGATGTACTAAAACAGAATTAATAGATATTTTTTCAGCATTTTTCCCCTTATGCCTAATTATGTTTGTTTTAAATATCAGTAACAATTTTCCAAGCTCTTGGATTTCATTTTTACATAAGCTCATTGATTGTTTAGTCTCCAACTAGTATTTTCTTTCTTTGTTCATTTAGTTCGTTCAAGCATAGAAATGATAATGCGGCATTTTTATGATTTGGTATTCAGATGTTACTTGAATCAAGTAGCTACATCCCGAGTCTCTTAATGTAGCTACATCCCGAGTCTCTTAATGTCTCCATTGATTTGTCTTCCTCTTACAAATGTTTCATACTAGGATAAGTGTACAGTATAGTTAAATACGTTGTGTTACTTCTTCCAAAGAGATGCTGTTGTGAATGCACAACTTGACTGACAGTTTTGGAGCATGTGTTATCTCCATTCTGCTGGAATATTAAAAAGAACACATACTCCCTTTCAAGGAGAGGCTTAGAAGTGTTCAGACATGTAGCTAGCTGGAAAAAAGAAGAGTACTTGAAATTACCAGGGTTAGAGCCTAAATATTTTTATGACTCTTGATATAATTCCTGGAGATTTAGGCCAAGTTTAAAAATCTATTTGAGCTGAACAAAACACTTGTATTCATGTTGCTTCACTGACTTTTGGCTTTTTTTCTTTGAAAATGGACTGGTGCATTTTTCTTGTGAAAATACAGAAATTACATAGTTGAAACAGAAGTGTTGGGAGTGGTCCATTAATGTGAGTGAACAAACAGGAGATATATGTGCAGGCTGAAGGTTGCTGTTGAAACACAAATTAGTCCTCAAATGAATAATAGAATCAAGGGCACAGGCACAGCAGCCATCCCCTACATACTGCAATGTGGGGAGCAGCATCAGGAAAACCTCTTGGTTCATCACAAGTATTTCAGGGGAAAAAAAATGTGTATGTGTTCATGTGCGTATACATATGCATATGAATAAGAGGCCCAAAGAATCTAAAGCAAGTTTTGACAAGGGTGTGTTTCTGATGGGTAGAGCTTCAGTTTGCATCTAGAAGCACTGTTTCGTACTCCCCTTGAGTCACCATGCTTCAGTTAAGGGCTTGGCGGTAACTCTGGTGTCTTCTCCCTGTCTCTACCCCTTCAGGGGACTCCAACCTGCACTTCAGTAACAGTCACACATCTGTCACCCTGGGCAGCCTCCTGGATGACCAGCACTGGCACTCGGTTCTCATAGAGCGCTTCAACAAGCAAGTAAACTTCACAGTGGACAAGCACACCCAGCATTTCCGAACGAAGGGAGATTCAGATCACTTGGATATTGATTATGAGGTGTGTAAAGCCCTTTAGGTTATAACCTGGGAGAAGAGGCTGAATTGGTGTAAAATGAATGTGAAGAAAATTAACCACCTTATGAGCTGTTTGTTTCAGCAAAGATCTTTTCTTTGTTTAGTAGTTCATTCCAAGACAGCTGCTTTCATAGTTAACAAACATAAGACTATGTCAGTGCAATTCTGTATATGATAGTCTCAGAAAATGGCCAGTCTGTGGACAAATACACATTAGATTATGCTTACACTTCAAATTATGGCCAAGCTTGAGCTAAACTAAAATATATACCCTGGGTTCTAGTTAAATCTTCTGGGAGCAACTGCACTTATCTGTACGGACAGGTGCTGTGTTACCATCTCCAGTATGATTTCAATTAGATCATTCTGTACCATCCCTGTGTCCAATTGACATGACCATAGGGACACCAGCTCTGAGTTGTGCTTCTATCCAGCCACCACTTGCTTGGATTACACCTCTCCATGTAGAGATAAGCAGGTAAAGACCACTGTCTTCCCATTAGGAAGACTCTGAACATGACTGTCAGGACAACCAGCTCTGATGCAGGTCCCTTCACATCTATGGTTGTAAAGCAGAGCATCCTGGTCTAGGGAGCCAGAGCAGCTCAGCTAAGGGAGAATGGAGCAGAGAAACAACCTGCCTGCCCATAAAACCTGAGGCTTGTGTGCTCCCATGTGATGAGGCCAAGGTGTGTCAGAGTGCAGTTTGTATCACTTCAGCATATTTCAGTGCTCATGGCTGATGGACAGTAAAAAAACACCTTAAAAAACTTTTATATCATCATATCTGTATGCAAGGCAGCTCCTCATCTCTCCCCCTTCTCCAATGCACACCTGCGTGCACGTTATCCATGTTCATTTTTATCCCTATGCGCTTGTCTACTGAGTCGTGCTAGCCCACAAGGCACAGGGTCATGCTTGCACAGTCAGAGCCATCACCCTGTCTGGATGTGTTGAGTTGGCATGGTTCATTGCTTAAGAGACTACAAATTTCCCCTCTGCACTTTGGATTTATTTCTCTGGAAAGGATCAATTCCCAGCATGCCCAAGGGACAAAAGCAGACAGCCCAGCAGTGGCATGTGCCTGCTTTCTGCTCTTCCCATGTTCCAGCTGAAATTCTCTTTGCATTTCACAAAGCAGGGTGGAGAGAGTGATATCTGTCCCCTGGCACTGCTCTACCAGATCATGAGCACATTTAGTAAGGATAGCACATTTGAGAGGTGAGATTCTGGAACAGCTTCAAATTGAACTTAGTAAGGGCTAAAACTGTAACTGCTTTTAAGATGGAGTTGAGAAAAAACATCTTTGAGTGATCAGCTTTCCTAATTTCAAAGTAATACAGTTCCTTGCTTCCAGATACAAGATTGATGCCAGTTAGGGAAAACTCTAGCTCCAGTGTAATTTGCAGAAAATTCTTCCAGATATTCCAAAACAGGGAACATGGTAGAGAAGATCTTCAGCTGGTATAAATCAGTAATACTGCTCACCTCCATGTCACTCAATCTTGGCTCTAGTGCTTAATTTTTCACACAATGTGTTTTCTTTCCGTTTGCGCTGAGGCAATCTTTCAATTGAACGTTACAGCAGTACAGTCTACTGAAAGTTTATCTTGGCACACTTTAGGGATTAAAGGCCTTGATGAGTAATAAAACTATTAGTTTGATAATTAAAATTATTACTAATCACAAAGGAAACTGTTTTCTTAATAATGCAGTGGCATAATTGATAGATTTTTCTTTTGGTTTTGAAACCCAGTACAGCAGGAGACTGAAAGAATAGAACATGGAAGAAGGAAAGTCCGGTGTGTTAAGGAAGAACTAATGATTCTTTCTTGAAGAAAATCATTGCCAATAAGAAAACTGAAAGTGATGTAAAGTAGGAGTCTGTTTACTCTTTATTTCTCCGAAGTGATCAATTAGTACAACTGAGATGCAAGTTCATTAAGGACTTCTTTTCAAAGAAGTGCTTTCAAAGTTATTCAGGAAGGTTTCATTTGGTTATGTATCCCAGCATGTTAGTTGGAGTGGAAGTTAAAAAATTATGAATTGCCCTTTATTTTTGTAATAATGAGCTGAGGTGAGCCGTTAGGAGTCATGACAGAGGAATAAGGCTGACCAGGTTCCCACAATAATCACTGCGTAACCAGTGTCACACAGCAGCACTTGCCCTTGCTGCAGTGGATGCTGCAGGATTGCAGCACAGCTTCTGATGTGCTGGAAGCACTGTGAAGTGTGGTGGCTGCAGGATCTCGACTTATACTGTATCACTCACTATGCTGATGGCTGCGATGGCAAAATGAACAAAAACTTAAGGTACCACAAGTAAGACTTTGCCAAAAAGGCCAATGGAGCTTATGAGAAATCTGTCATCTAAAATAATTATGCTCCAATGATTTGGGGAGGGATTTTTTTCTTGCAGTTTTTATTCTTCCAGGGCCTCCATTCAGTAACAGGCTGTAATCTGCACAATACTAACATCTTTCAGTACTCGTACAACAGCACAGCAGTTTTTTTTAAATGTGTAACCTGCATAACTTTTCCATTACACTGCTCAGTCCATGTGCATATATTGGAAAGACCAAACCACAGGGAAATTTAGGGAAAACCATTGCAAGGTGCAAATGGGGTAGTGTGTGTGTGTGATAACTACCCTCAAGTCGCTGAAACCAGAACTGTCCAGATGCATGCTTTGTGGAAAGGGGTGACTCCAGCTCAAGGCAAATCCAGTGCTCTGTGGGCGGGAAGAGTTTATTCCCCCATTGCTCAGCAGTTCCTGATCACTGTGGTCTGCTTGGTGTGTGACAACTTCCAGGCCTGTGGGGGCTATGGGCTGGAAACCATTTGAACATAACCCTGTGATTTGGGGAAGGGAAAGCTGGTGGTACTAGGTTGGTGAAGTGGTGTGTCAAGGCTCTTTAAAGTTGTTTCCAAATTAGTGAGCTGTCTGTGGCAGCAGCATTTCTCCAATAGCTGTAATGCTGTGTGGCCTGTAATTCCCCTGTTGGGCAGCCAAGCCCTTCTTTGTGCTCCAAGATGATGCTGTTAATGTGACCTGGTTCTCAGATAATATCCCAGCTGGCTGCATGGAGTGGGGCTCTGCCCTCTTGCATTTAGGGTGATAACTAAATACTGTTCTTATTCCTTCCAAAAGCTCAGTTTCGGAGGGATTCCTGTCCCAGGAAAACCAGGAACCTTTCAGAGGAAAAATTTCCATGGATGCATTGAGAACCTTTATTACAATGGAGTCAATATTATTGACCTAGCAAAAAGGCGCAAACCTCAGATCTATACTGTGGTAAGAGACAATAATGTATGCTTGCTTTTTTACTCCCATGATGTTGGTGCTGCTGGGTGCACTGAATGAGTGGAGTTCAGATTTAGTTAGCTATGGGCATAATTAGCTTGTTAAAATGATATTGCTGAGGCTAACACCAGCCAGCACTGACTGCTGTGGTGGGAGTTACTGAAAGACACATGTGGAAATCAATACATTATTCTGACTTTCCAGGTGCATTAGAATTTGTTTGGAGAAACTTTTAAATTCTTTTCCCAAGGTTAAAAATGTGTCTTTTTGGTAGCTTGATGGAATCCATAGACACTTGTTTTTTTCTGATCAACTCAAATAAAAATCTTATTTTCTGAACAAGTGTCCATCACTGTTGTGTGGTACAGTAGTAGCAAAATTTTATTCTGCTATTTGAGTTGGTATTATAGAGAAGAATAAATGTTTCTTTTAGTATTGGAAATATTTTCCATTGTGCTGCTCCTTATATTCAGTGTATTGGTAATTCTGAGAACTATTGACTTAGTACTAGTGTCTCTAAATGTGCGCTGGTGGAGGTAAAGCAAAAGGAACTATGGTCTTATCCCGCCTGCTAACATAAAACATAAATATAAATTCAAATCACAATAATGTCCTAAAATTACAGATATATTTAAACATATCATGAGCAAAATAAAGAACATTTTATTTCATAAGAAGAGGGAACAGTATACTCCCCTGCAGCCTTGATAAATTGTAAATAATTCAGTGCTTTGTTTGCCTCGTGCTTCACTCCTGCACCATGCTTTGATACATGCCTTTTGGCTAATACTGTGGAGAATGTGGAGGTGAAAGTTTACTTCTCTAGTAAAAAAAGCTTCTCTAGTTTGTAGTAATGTGTGTGAACTGACTGAAGAAGCAACCAAGCTAACCAGTCCTTCCTTTTCTCACTTTCCTTGCCTAGGGTGAGGCTGAATATACAGGGAAATGGGAAATGGGAAGGTGAGAAGTCCCACATTGTGTTGCTGGCAGTCAGAACTGCCTCAGGGATGCTCACCTAGCCTTGGACTGGAGAATTTGCTTTAATAACCTCAAGTTTGATTGTTCTGAGTCAGAACTCTAAGGCACAAATCTTACGAACTGCATTACATTGCTCTCCCCCTCAGCTTACTTTCTAACAGGAGTAAAGTGCCCTGGTCTGCTTCTTAGGTCACCAAATGGTTGTTTCGCCAGCTGGGTAACGGGAAGGCCTTCTTAAAGGGGAGAAGAAAAACTTCGTAATGCACTTTTTCTCTGAAGGATATTGTGTAGGTTAACGTGGCCACAAGCAATGAAACTGTTATCACAATACTAGATTCAGCCAATGCTAGATTGAATGTTTAGAAATCTTTCTCCTTTTGTCAATTTAAGGTAGCAGGGATGTGCCCCCATTGTTCAGTCTGCCTCACAGAACTGATGGTTTTAATGCAATAGTTTTCAAAGGCTGGCTGTTGTACTGCATTTTGGAAGATTTCCGAACTGCTATGTGCTGTGTCTGTGACACTTGTTTATGTAAAGTGCATGGAAAGGTTGCCACACTCACAAAGCCTCAGAATCTCACATGAAGATACCTTTATAGGAAACAGACCCTGTAAATCTGTTGTTTTCCAGCGTCCTTTCCATCACAGCTATTTATCTCCTCCAACAACTCTTGGGTACTTCCAGCTTTCACAGGCTGATCTCCCTCTCCCATCTTCCTGCTCTTCTCCACTCCTTAGCAATTTACTTGCTCAAATTAAAATAACTTGTTCTTACTAAATGTAGTCTTTTGTCTGCCAGACTTCTGCACTAAATGCTTTTACTCAAAGTTCATTGAGAATCTATATCCCCAGGGAGCTACGAGCTTCTCTGCTTCACACCTTTGTTGCTAAGGTTGTCTGGAGTGGAAATGTGTGAGAGGAACAGCACAGAAGAATAATTAAATATGGCAGGGACTTGGAACCACTTCTTCCAAGAATGTTGTGCACTTGTGTTCCCTCTCCACAAACAGGAGATCACCAGCAATGGTTCTGTGTTGTTAGTCCCCAAAATACCTTTGTCTCCTAACAAAAGATATTTGAGGACAAACTGGCCAATTTGGGATTAGAAAGCCTTTTTTTTTTTTTTTTCCTCCAGAAGGGAGGCAGACTTTAACACTCAGTCTCTGCTTCATTATTTGTGCCTTTGTGAATGCTGATACATACAGTCAAACTTATGGGTTTTTACACCCATTAACTTTGTTTTTTTACTGTTGACATCTTTCACACAAGCAGAAGAATGATACATCAGCTTTAAAGGTATAGATTTCCTCTTATGCAGTTCCTCATCCATATAAATAATGGTCCCAAACAAGCTGCATTTTAAATCAGAGTAAGAAACTACAGGTTGTCAATAACAGAGAACTGTACTATGTATCATACTCTTGGGTGGTAGCTGTGATTATCATTCCGCCTATTCTTTTCTGTTAACTCATTTGCAGTTGTCAGACTTCCAATAAATCCCCTGGAGAAGACATCTCTGGATAACGAGGCAGTGTGTCTCTTTGAACTGAAACTTGCCTTCAGAATTCCATTTTTATATTGCCTGATACTTAACCTTTCCATGTGGCAGCCCTATTTGGACAGGCTATTCTGTTCTGTTGGGTTTTGTGATTTGAGGTTTTTTTTTTGCCCTAGATTGTTGAGTGTGGAGAAATGACAGGGAATCTTTTATTTGCTCTCCAAAGCGATTACTGGTTTTAATTGCAAGAGGTTATGAGAAGTTAAATTTCTATAATTACTGCTCTCATGGTCATAGGGCTGGACCATTGGGAAAACTCAGAAAATGCCTTAAAATAGTAATCTAAAGATCAGCCATATTTGCTAGCTGTCTTAGCACAAAAGAAGTGCAGACTGCCCGTTATGAGAAATTGCACAGCAGTTGCGTTTTTTGGGCAAGTTGTTAGGGACAGGGAAATATGCTAGTAGGAGCCTCATTTACAAGAAGCATAAGGGGAATTGTCCTTCAGAGAAGGATATTTGACCTGTAGATATCTGTGATGGTGAAGTCCTTGTGGAAGGTCTTTTTACTTGTTAAGGGTATATGTAGATGCAGAAAGAGATGGACAAAATAGGAAGAAAAATCCATTGAGAACTGCTAAATACATCTCACTGAGGGAGTAATGAAGATAAAAATAGCTATAGCATCCTGAAAATAGCTAAAATATCCTGGCCACCAGTGTTTACTTACTGCTAGATGCAGGTGCACCTTTACAAACTTCTCTAATGTGATCTGTGGCCAAGGTCTTAAGTGTTTTTACATGTCATGAATTTGTGATGCCAAAAGAAGCAGCTGTCTAGCAGAAGAAAAATGAAGAAGTTACAAAAAAATGCTGTGTTTGGTCTTCTTAATGCTCCACCTTACTCACTCAAACTGGTGAAAACCCTATCCCGCTTTCCCTTCTATTAACTTCGACTAATAAGAATTGTGATTATATCTCCATTTTGGAATGCAAACCTTGCAGTGACTTGAGAGGAATGCAGGGTATTTGTAAAGTAGAGTTTGTCAGCTCTCAGATACGCTTGAATTTCTACGTTGGCCTGCCATGTTGAGTCTGGGAGTGACAGTTCAGCACAGTAAGGGATATGGTGACATACAAATGCATCACTGTAGTGCCTCAGGGAAATAACCAATTGCCAGCATCAAAGCACAAGGAAAGATATCTAGTGACAGGAGAATGTAAACTAATAATTCATTCTCTTTATAGAGAATCCAAACATGCTATTTTATTTGGCTGATTTGAGATACCATCATCTTGAGAAGAGTTTACCTCTCTACGCACATCTCATTGTACCAAAGTGCTATTGCAAGTGTTGATATATCTGTGAATATCAGGCTGGTAGTTTGTGAAGGCCCCTACTAGGATTTAGAGAACCAGGAGTTAGATATATCTTTCGTTGTTTGCACTGCAGATTATAAGAATCATCAATATAAAATGTTGGAACTATTTAGTGGCAACTTCCTATAGGTCTAAATTGGATTAATTTAAAACTTCTATGCAATTATTTAATGAAAGAGTGAGTCACATGCAAACTGAATTTGCTGTTCTTTAGATAAGACATATGAACTCAAATTCCAGAAATATTTGATTCCTGTAAAAAATAGAATTTCATGTTATCTTCTCTCTTCCTATCTGCTCTCTGGATCTTCAGATGAGTCTTCTTCTCATCCTAACTGCAGTGTGAAATAGTAAAAAAGTTTATACAGAATTAATTTTAAGGTCCCATTTTATTGTTGTTGAATGGTATAGCAGGCTTCTTTTGAAAGAAATTGTGTCACATCAATCAAGGTTTTGAAAGTTTAAATGTAGTTTTTCGTTTGAGTTCTCTTGGCATTGTTTACAATTCTAAAGACTTTCAGTCTGTAAATATTTAATCCAGCATGTAACTGCAATAATAAACTCCTTTTCTTGCTGTAAAAGTTTTGTGCTACAATTTTGATAGTTATGATGACCATAAGGGAAGCAAGTCTTCCAGGGAGAGAGACCATTTTTTTTAATGAGATTAGTTCACATGCGGAAAAAAAAAAAGAGACATAGTTTTGAGCAAAGAAGGTCTTTTTGAGAGTCATCAGCATTCAGCAAATTACGGGTTGGAAACAGTTGTTCAGAGTTTAATACATTATCTGGGTAGTCAAATTGAGTGAATATGATAGTTAGTACCTGCTGAGCAGAGGAGGATTTCAAGGTGGGAGGTGGTAAAGTTGTTAATCCCTGTAGGAGAGCAAGAAAGGTGGCTAATTACTGCCATAGGAGTTACCAGGGGATAAGAAAAATGAGGAAGCATGTAATTTGCTGTAAAGCCAAGGCTTAAATATCTTCAATTTTTTATTTTATTTTTTTTGAAAGGGAAAACCTTACCCAGTCACAGTTAGGACTCAAGACCCCAGAGTCTGTGAATTTCATAGCTACCCTTGATCTGGGGTTATGCTAAGATACACAGATGATCAGAATTTAAAAGAGAAAAATATAAAAAAGT